TCACTTGATTAATCTGTGTATGTGCCATAGAGATATAGAGAGAGAAAGAAAGAGGACAGTCTAATTGTTGAGAAGATACATGAACTTCTCATTCCATCATGATGATTGCATACCTTAATTTTTCTTGATGTCATAAATTATTTAGCTGAAAATATTAGGAGTTACAGGTTTCCTAATGTTTTGTATCTTCATGATACATGTATGTATCTCAGGAGCAAACATGGATACACTCACATCAGACACATGTTTATACTCTTTGATCATATGGATTGCATGAATCAAACATGTCATATTTTGGGACACAAAATTGCTTGGAAAAATGCAGCAAGCTCCTCTCCAGCACACATCAAATCCTCTTTTTTCTTTCATGCAAATACTTTGGTAGAATAATTTTCTTCAAGGCTTCTTCACTTGTTAACTGCATTACAAAATTTTCTAGTTTTATATCAGTTTTTGGATTAAATTCTATCATTAGAAATCTTAAAGCAACATTAACTTTTAAAACAAAAATCGTAATCCTTTAGTAAACCTTGTTGGGATTGATAAGTATTTTTAGATTTTTAGATTTAATTATTCTAATAAAACAAAGATTCCTAGTAGAAAATATGGAAGAAATTTTAAAATTAAAATTTGACTATTCTATAAATACGTCGGTAGAGAGTGTGACAAAATCTATAATTTTTTTTTAATCTTATATAAGAAGATATACAAGGAGAATTATGTTTGAGTTAGGTTTATCAATGGTTTGATTACTATGCCAAGAATTTAATTTTTCTTTATGAAAATAGGTAGTGGCGGTGTCAAAGCCATATTAATCTTGTATCGATTTATTGATATATTTTTTTATTATCGATATCTGATTTTTTTTTGAAATTTTCTTTCTCCGGAACAAAACTAATGATTATTGATTTGACTTGCTGATAAAATAATTAAATAACTTTTATTGTCTTCAAAATTTTTATTTTTTTTCTATAAGGTATTGAATGATAAACACCAATGAGCATTCTATCAAAAAGAAAGAAAGAAGAAGCTAATTTTACAAAGACAATTCCATATGTTTATTCTCAATAAGAAACCTCATCAACATTACATATCCTGAAAAAGTAGTTGATTTGTGTGTTAAGCTTCTAACCTACCACAATAGCTCAATCTTTAGCCTTCAACTGAAATCATCAACTCATGAACAACATGATCTTGAAAATGATCAGTAAATGGTTCTCAAATGGAGTGATGCAATTTGTTATAAGACTGAGAGTGTTCAAAGGATACCTTTCTATTCTATTGTGTCATTGTTAAACAGTAAAACATATTTATTTCAGGCACAAGTGTTGCCAGAGGTTACTCAGATACTTGGAAGATGGAGGCAATTGACTAACAAGTCTAAAGACCCTTAATGGTTTTATTATAAGTAGGAAAGGGAACAAGATTCACAAACACTACTTTACATTCTTTTTGATCTATTTTAATATCATTTGTCATAGTTTAATTTGATGAAATAATTGACGAATACACCGATAAACTTACACCATAAATTTGTACCCCATTTCATCGGACTTAGATATGCATTGATGAATTAGTATCGTAAAGAATCTCCCATGTATCTTAGATCTTACTATTAAGAATGGTAGTGTTACTTGAGTTAGCCCGCCAAAGTTTCTAAGTTGGAGGTTTTTAATATCACAGCTTTATTATAAATATGAATATTTATAATAAAAGATATCTAATTCACAGTAAATCGTTTTCTTTTTCTGTTATGCTAAGTGGTGGGCAGAATCGTCATTTGAACCGGCCGAAATCGGCTAGCTTCCAAGACCGGCTCGGGTCGAGCCCGAGCGGAGCGCATCCGGTGGCAGTGCGCCGGTCCCGGCGGACCGAGTTCGCCGGGTATCGCAACTCGCCGGAGACTCCCGCCGATTCAGACACCTGGCTGTGCCGCCCGCTGGCGCCCGACCTCATCAGCGGGCTCAGGCGGACCGTAAACCCCGACACGCCGCCGACGCCTCGCAGTTGTTGTTGCTGTTGGTGGTGGCGGTGGCGGTGACGGCTGCTCGCGGAGATCCGCCGCAGCGGCGTCGGAATCGGACGCCTCCACCCGTTCGAGGACTCGCTCGTGTACCCGCTCGCGTCCGACTCCTCCTCGTCCTCCATGGCCGGCGACATCCCCCGCTGCACCAACCGACACGACCTCGTATTCTGTTCCGGTGCCGTCTCTCCCTCTGCCGCCGAGAAGGGCTCCGGTTGCCGCTTCTTCCTGCGGCGGCGGAGGCGAACGAGCGCCGAGAACCATGATCTCGGTCCGGAGCCCTTACGAGGCACCCAGTCGGCCTCTCCCTTCTCCGATGTGTGATGCCCGAAGAGCGCTTTGAGGACGGAGAACCGCCCAGACCTCCGGTTCCGACCGCCGTCGAATTCGCCATCCAAGGTGTGGCCGAGCCCGGGGGTGCTGAAGAAGCTGGGGTCGTGGTGGTGCGAGGCGTCGGAACCGACGGATCGGCGGTGTGGCAGGTAAGGCGACACGGACTGGGGGAAGGCGATGTTGGGCGCGTCGAAACCCCATGGTTGGCGGTGGGGGGATAGCTCGTTCTCGGCGGCTACGAGGGCGAGGAGGCGCTCCCTGAGGCAGGAGGCGCAGACGCCGGCGCCCAATTCGTAGGGATGCTCCTTGCACTTCATCGCCGCTGCCACCAGCTGCGGCCTCCGGCCATCGACCGCCAGATTCAAGCCCCAAGGTTCGTTTCTTCGTCGATTCTCCAAACACCAGATCGAGAGATCGAGAGAGACAGATATCTTCGTCGCGTCCTCCACTCTCGAGCTATTAAGTAGGCTTCTCGATCCGCCTGATTAATTAGATTCACGTAGCAGGAGTTGTTCACCCATGAAACAAATGAAAGGTGACGTGGTCCTCCCTCTGACGCGCGATACCACATGGCTTGGAGAGGTGACGTCACCCCGTGCAGCTCTCAGGGGTGACCCGTGCGGAGTCGGAAAGAGATCTGCCAACGAGACCGAAGTATACTTTTCTTCCCATACTTCTCGTGGCCGAACGCGTCTCGTCGCTGGGGTCCACCTCTGTCTCCACTTACAGAGCAGGTAATTCACGACGCGAAGAGTCCTGAGTACCAAAAGCACTTCCGTCGAGAAGGGTGAGACGTGGGTATCCGCCGACGGGTCAATTTTGTGATGCGCATTAAATGTTGGGATTTAAACTACAAAATAGAATTAATAATAGATTTAATAGGTAATTTGGTCCCCTGAAAGAATAGGTGGAAGTCAAATAATCGGAGAAGAGATTAATTATTGAGTCAACAACTGTTAATTTTAAAATATTTAAAAAATAATAAAATAAAGAAGAAGGGGGAAAATGTCTAATAAATAAAATAAAGGATAAAATCAATATTTTTGGGGTTTAAATTATTGACATAAATCTTTGTACTGTGGCCATACACATTATGTGCAAGATATCATCACCTTGGTGGATTTGGGACTTTTTGTTCTTTAAGTAATGGTAAAACCTATATACACAATAATTTATTTTTGTCCAATTTTATCATATTAATATAAGCTTAAGGATAATAAACTAGGAAAAAAATGCTAACTTAATTTCTTGAAGATATCTTAAAAAGAAAGGATGAAATCATCACCATGTACAGTGGATTGTATTAAAATGATCAAATCTAAGAATGTTCCACCCCAACACAAAGTCAACGTGTAGGCCCATCAATGGACTTGTATTAATGTGATCAAATCTAAGAATGTTCTACCGCACCCTAGTCAACATGAAGCCCCATCAATGCTTAGGTGTTGAATTCATTGTGATGGAAACATGGCAAAATAGTCAACCATTTGAAGCCATGTCAATTACAGGCCACTACTTCTGAATTGCCTTCCACACTTGTCAATGGTCACAACTTGTGACTCTTACCGTGTCAGAAGTGCATTATGTCAAGTCAACCTCATCTAGAAGAGATGAAAAAAATACATGTCATTAATATGCAATGGCTTGGACTGCATTTTTTTTCTTTTTTTTTGCCTTCTTCTAGTGAGAGATTGCAATTATTCTAAGAAGTTTCTCAAACAAAACATCACTCTCCAACATCAACCTTCCTACATTAAATATGGTCAAGTTTGACAAGAAAGATTCCGTGCCAATGAGGGAATTCTGCCAACCATGAAGCCCAGAGAGGAGGGAAAATGATGTAGAATAATACTTAGGTCACAGGTTGAATGTTGACATCAATTTCCTAAGCTTTTTCACATTCAGATATATTTTTGAACAATATTAAGATCTTTCACACATATCCCTCCTGCAAATATTAATTCAAATAATTCAGGTTTATCATAACTATAATCAACATTGGCTAATTTCAGTCAAAAATATAAAATCATAATTTAGTTTTTTAAAAGACACTAACATCATCCTTAAATGATAGTTAGCTGATGAAGTGATTACAATGGCACTTGTCCAAATGCAAATATAAGAATCACTTCAATTCTTCAATGACACATCAGCAATTTAGGACTGATCCTTCAACATTTTTCTCAACTAAATGTATATATTAAAACCGAATCAGTGGCAGGATATTTGACCTACCAATAACATTGTGTTCATTTCATAAGAAGGTCCCCTGAAAAGGATCAAGTTTGCATACAAGAAATTAACTCCTAATGCCTAAACTAATACAACTTTTGTTTACCTAATGCAGTTTGTAGTGGTAGCTCAATAGAAAATCTCATCTGGACAACAAGGTCAATTACCTGGTTCTCAATATCTACTCTGATGTCTTTGACTATCATGATCTACTCACTTGTTCATATGTAATTGCTTCCTGTTGATAGAGCTTCTATTACATTGTTCAAATGAATTCATAGTAGTGTCCTCAGATTTTTCACCTTCACTAGAATCTTGCTACTTGTGCATTTCTAAACCATGCAGAGATATTTCAGCAAGTGCCATATCTCCTGTCTGTATCACAGGAAAAAAAAACCTTTTGTAACATGCGGTATTAAAGTTAAAAAATAATTTATTCCAATAATCAAAAGGTATAATACTATTCCCAACATCTTTCAAACAACAGAAACAAAATCTAGAAACAAACTGTGTGGCAGCACAGTTGCATAAATTCACAAGCAGCAATTGCCTCTTCTCAATGAAAGGAAAACGCACCTCTGTACATGAGGGTAATAAACAGGTGTTTTGTAATTCTGTGATGAGTTATTAATCAAGTATTAGAAGTAACTATACTCGTCACGATCACTCATCTGAAGGAACGACAAGATCGCCACACCAAAGACCACGAATGAAGACAGCTCCATTGTCAGAGCACCCCATCCAATGAGATTTGCATGCTTCAATATGGAGGGTATCGCGATGCTTCCTACAACTGATGCTCCCGTCAAGAATTTCGTGAAATTCACCCAGCTGGTAAGCATGGAAGGTAAGAAACTTGTTATCTCAGATCTAGGAAAGCAAAAAAGTCGCTCTTGTTAGAACAACAAGTACTAACCCATCTCCATCACCGGACATGAGTGAGCTGGAACCCCCAAAGAACAGCAATGGCATAGGAAGGATCACATACATCAAGGCTGCAGAAAAATTTCACAAACTTACCAAGATATTACATTCATTGTCAATATATTCACAAATCAATTACTCCATTACCTGTTAACATAGGCCACCAGTTATTGTATAAAGCACATGCCTGAAATCACAATGAACAAGAGAGAATATAGAGATGCAGTTGTAAGCAATGTAATAGACTAGCATCTAGAGTATACTCACCAAAATTTGTAATACTATTCCACCAGAGACCAGAATTGCCAAAAGAGCAAGCTGCCCAGTGTGCAGGCAAGCAGTCAATCTGTTGGATAAACCCGCCATTGTCTTCTTTACCGATCAATGGTGAGCTCAGTGGCATAAGAAATCAACAATTCAAAACCTGTGGAGATAGATCACAATATAGTTCTCCTTAAGCATCACAGCATAAGGAATTAACTCAAGATCTCTTGCTGGTTTACATCTTACGTAACATAGTAACATATGATAACACAACAAGACATCCCATATTTCCAGTAGATTTAAGCCTATACTACCAAACCAAAAGCTAAAAATGAGAAAGAGAGAATTGCAGAGAACAGCTACTAGACATACTGATATGAGAGGAAAGGAAGTAGCTAGAAAACACCACCTACTGGACGGCATGCTCCTACATATCAGTGATGCAGGGTATGGATCGGTTGTGTACAGGCATGTTACCAAGTGGCCCATTGCAAAAGGCTCCCGCAGGATCCAGAGAGGGTCAACAAATGTAGTATTATTGAAGAGGCATGTTGGCAGAACAAACAAGGAAAAAGGAAATAGAGAAGAAAGTATAAGAAAAAATGTAATGTGCACGTCTCTTGAACAAAGTCATCGATGGAAGCCTCCACTCAATTTATAGTTCAAGTATAGTTTGCAATATCAATAATGGCATCAAGATTAGTTACATGTGATATAAACAGAATTCATAGGATCAACCAAATCAAAGTTGCTCAGATCAGGATTGACCAAGAAAATAATATAAAAAAGGGATTAAAGGATCACTACAAAACCAAAGAGGGGTGACCTACTGCTTGAGGCTCCTGTCATACTTTATTTGTTAAAGATTCATATTAGAAACAAATTTGAGAAAACATATTTTTAATACAATAAAATATTCGTTTACCATCATATTTTGTAGGTTAAATAACTTTATATTGATAGATATAATTAAAATATAAACAATAAAATCATATAAAAGGCGCTAATGAAAAATAACAGGTAGTAAACGGAACTATGATATACTTATTAGAAAATATATACTAATCAAATCATACAAAAATATTACTGTGTAAATAACTATTGTATAAACATATTATACAAAAAAAAAATAAAACTAACGGATATATTTAAATACTGTGATGGTCCCACAATGGCCCAAATATTTCTGGATGAAACTGTTGAGTGATGTAAAAATAAATTAAAAAATCTTTATTTGAAGAGGATGCCCATTGGTTTCAGGAAATGCCTTGACATCTCCATTGTGATAGCATCACTATTCCATTAAACACCTACTAGGATTTCATAATATTTCCTTGAAATCCTAGGGTTCAACCAAACACTCTTATCCCCCTGGATTTGGGTGGCTCCAGAATTCCCATCAGCCGCTTGAAATACAAGGATTTTGTTCCCAGGGTACCTTGAAATTCTATTAAACACAAAACAAGGATTTCTATTAGAACTTAGATTTGCATTTGGAAATTTTTGAGTAATGCTAGGTGCTTATATCAAACAGGATTTACAAGATTCATAGCCAAACCTAATCCTTCCTGTCCCCTCTATGTTTTGTACCACAGATTATGGACGAACTCCTTATGATGATCACTGCCTCCCTAGAAGCTTCAAAGTCTTAAAGCATTAGAAGGTTGAAATTAACAACTCTTTTAAAGCCTTTTAACTTCCAAATCCAAACTCTTCTGAATAGAATCTTCTCCCCTGGAAACCTTAAGGGTCTAAAAAAAATAGGTGAACTGTCCTATTCGGATCAAGACCAGACATCACAGGTTCATGTCAAGAGGTGCAAGAAACAAAGAAAACTGAGTAGCTTATGGGTTCAACTAATGAAAGAGTTAATTAGATTGCAGACTAATATGCGTAGGGCAGTATGCTTAGTATGATAGATAACAGGAACCCCTTCTTTTCATTCTGGCAATGGCATTTTCACAACCATATAACACAACAATTGATGCATGTAGAACTTGTTGCCCCAAAAAGAAACTATCACCATCTAAGGCTTCATGATGTATCAAATTGTAAATAATACCAAAAAGCTTCTCCCATTATTTCAAGCTCTACTTTGCCCGACACTTCTTTCAGAATTCCAATAGACATCTTTCCCAACAATGTCTAATCCCAGCACCATGGACACAGGCCAACCATGAAAGAATCCTGATTCAAGCATAATACATTGGATACCACACAAAAGCATGTATTGAATTCAGACAGACAGTAACTGTTCTCAGCTTTTACAGGATATAGTATGATAAGAGCATTTTACCTTAGATTAAAACTACTTAATCTAGCCACATACACCAGCTGACCAGAAACCACACAAACTTTCTAAGAGATCCTAGACATTGAAATAAAGGCATCTTAAATAGAAATTACAACATAAGGTAATAAAAAATGCAAGCAAGAATTACTAACCCAATTTAAAATTTTTACACTCTCAGATTTAATTGGGAGGTCACTATTTTAGTGCTTCATACTCACCACCATACTTCAGTAACATAAGAAAGGTACCACCTTCTAGTTGTAAATGGTACGGTACATGCAAACTCCTGATCAATTTGCTGCCCAAACACCAAGCTGAGTTGATTGCTAATGTTGAACAATTCTTATAGTCTGAACTGTGTCAAAGTCTTTAATCGCAAGCAATCCACAAGGAGAATTCCTATATTCTTAATTTAATGCCACAACAGTAGCTTATCCTGTAACTAAATAAAGAAACCTCACACGATAGATTCATAATGTTTTCTCCTCAACCAAATTTGGGGATCTTTCTTAAGTTTTCTCTACTATTAAAGCAGCCACACTTTTCATTCTCCCTATCCTGCTTCAAGAAATGTATCATCTTAATCTGCTCTTTAAAGACATCTGCCTTATGTCTAGAACCCTGTTCTGTATCGTCTGGTCATCAAATCGTTCATCTCAATTAAACAGAATTGCTAACAACAAAACATTCGAAAAACCCTCTCGCAGGCTACAGCTAGTCCAACCAGACACAACACATCACTATGTCAGTATCCTATTTCATCAAATCACATAAGAATTCCTCCTACTTTCTCTACCTCATAACAAATTCAAATAAATATTGCATGATGAAACAGACTGAATCACCAGTTTATTCGCATGATGAAACCAAAAGAAGATTGCATCCTTTTCCATAGCCTAACCGGTATACCCTGATCAAACCAACTCATATCACGATAGGCAAAAGGGAACATGAGGCGTACTACAACGGGAGGAAAGAAAGGGTTCCGCCGGAAGGATTCGGGCTCGTAGATCTAGGGTTTCGTCGGCAGTGCCGTCAAAGCCACCGACGGGCTCCGTTTGTCCTCCACCTGACGAAGCAACCAGAAAGAGAGAGACGTATACGCGTACCGACTTACCCTAACAGAAGTGAGACTATATATAGCATCTCTTCCCATTGGCTATGAACGAAGGCCAAGTGTTGACAAATGGTTTCTTTGTTATTGCATTCAAAACTTTATTTTGAATGTTCGAGCATAAATCAAATATATTATCTTTATATTGTTATTAATTTTGTGTGTTTTAGGGTCTTATTATAGATGGATTCTCATTATTGATTAATAAAAAAAATTAATTATGATAATTTTTTTTAGAAAATAGAAAGACTATTATAATTACTTATTTTATATCCTTTATTTTCGTCTATAAATATGATTTCTCATAAACAAATCAACCTAGTAATCAAATAAATAATAGTAAAAGAAAAGAAGATGAATCTAACTTTTATTATAAATCGACATCGTATAGCTTTTAGATCCGATAATAATATACTTATAAATCAGATAAAAATTTTCTGAACAATATTGAAATATATGTATTGTATATTTGGTCTATTGATTTTAGTTTTTGATATTAATTTTTTTATATAACTATAGTATATTATGATTTTTATGCTTAGTTCATTAATAATTAATTAAATACATAGGACAAGTAATAAAATATCACAATTAATAATATATAGATTAAGGAAAAATAAAAAAAAAATTATAAATTATTTTTATAATATTTTATTAATAACAGTATTTGGTCTGTTCACAAATTCAGACTAAATGGTTTAAAGAATGTTTTTGATGGTATTTCTATTAAGATATGAAAGAATTAAGTGTATATATCTATGTCTCTGTTTATAATCTTCAACTAATCTGTAGGTTGAGAGACACCTTTCATTGGATCCTTGTGAAGGCTGATTGATAGATGTTACTTAAAACTATGAACACAGATATCCTATGGCTTGTCATATCTCTCTCTCTCTCTCTCTCTCCTGGATCCTTGTGAAGGCTGATTGATAGATGCTACTTAAAACTATGAACACAGATATCCTATGGCTTGTCATCTCTCTCTCTCTTTCTCTCTCTCTCTCCTGGTTGTAGGTTTGCCTGTAGAAGATAAGGCTGGATTGAGTCCTGCAAAAGGGAATGTGTTGGTTCCAAAGTTGATGTAGACATCACTGCCATGGATGTGCTGTTTATATGCATGCCTCCACCACCTCAGCCACACTTTTCGTCTGCCAGTCTCACTCGCACCATCAGCCAATGAATGACATGATGGAAGAAACTTTCTTCTTCCTCTCCTCTTTCTGCCGTCCTTTTTGATATCTGCAACTGCAGGCATACACCGCCATAGAACAGTTCTTGTTATAGGATATATGAGCGCACAAGTCCAACACAGTATCACTGTCCTTGTAGCTGCACATAATATTCCACCACCACCTTCCTTCTTTGTTCTTCTTTGTTGCCTTGTGCATGGCTACACTCTTCGCTGCTCTAAATTCTGCACCTCCCATTGCCTCCTGTAGCTGTCTCCAACCCATTGGCTCCATCCATGGGCTTCCAAGTTGTGGAGCAGACTGGCTCCTACTGTTGTTCCATGTCTGCACCTCCGTCCCCTGCGCCCCGGTCGCTTTCGGTTAGTTCGAGATGTAGCGGTCGTGCCGGTCGCTGTCTTTCCCACTCGCTCAACGGTGGATACCGCGCATGACCTGCGTTGGCCAAGTTGATCGCTGTTGGAGCGACATGCGCATCCTTTTCTGTGCCGACGACGATGCCCAGCACAGCCAGGAAACGGAGAGGAAGCTGGCGAGCAGATCCCGCGGTTCCGGTTGATCCGTGGAGTCAGCAAGTTTGAAAATTTCGGGCGCCCAGGTCTCCGCCTCCGCCACATGCTTGCCGCCCCTCCTTTTCTCGAGCATCTTTTGGTCGTACGTTGCCTCCTTTTTCGAGCATCGATTGGAGGCCATCGGTTACGCCATCGGGGAGGACTCTTCTTTTGATTTGATGTCGTCGGTGCACTCTGCATTTATAGTAACTTGGGCCGCTCGCGAGACCCCGATCCGAGTCGTAGAAGAGGAAAGGAGACCATGAGAACCAGGAAAGGCCGGCGCTCTGAGGTGCTGCTCTTTGCCCGTCCAGTGTTTGTTGAATTGCTTTTTGTTGATCGGTGACAAGGTCTTAACTGCTCTGCTTGTGCCGTTGCTGCTCTGTCTGTGATCAGTCCTTCTGGCCCTCTATAGTAATGAGGAAGTGGCTCAACATCAAGCCAAAGGTGCATGAATTCAGCGAGGATGAGGTCGACACCGAGAGCGATGATGATGGTTAGTTTAGATGAATGTTAATGAGGATGCAATTCTAGTTTGTTCAAGCTGATCACACTGCCATACTAACTACTTGCGTGCTACTCTTCTACAGTCCAAGATGCAAAGATCTCAAGCATGGTTTCATTTCTTGAAGCAGCAGGAAGCAAAGATGAATACAAACCTCATGCATCAGGTACCGACAAACCGATAGATGGAATCATGGACTGTGTTTCTTGTTTTCCATGCCAGAATTTTGATCTCTTGATGTTTACATTAGCTGTGCTTCAGCAATATATTTCTCATGTCCTGCAATAAGTCAAGCATTGGTTGAAAAAAATGATACAGCTTGATTTAGAAGGATTAGCTACTATTCACAACCACTATCAGGTTTAGATGTATTGTTTGGTACAGATTTCATTGGACTTCCAACAATTTCATGTTTGAGATCTTGTAGTAAACAGGACTTGGAATTTGACCCCAGATTTTACTCAGTGCTCCTACAAGTTTGGAAGAAATTTTCATGTAATCCAACCATGCAAGAATAAAACAAAATCATGTTGGATGAAGCACTGATAAGCATCATGTAGAACATGGATATGAGCTTTAGAAACTATATACATACATAGCATTTTCTGTGAAACAATTATAAAGACATTACTTACCAATTTCTTGAATCGCTTGATTAGATCTGCTTGAGTTTGTTCTCATGCATTGACTTCTTGTTCTTGTGTCAAACACTCCAGAAACAGAGACAATAATTCCCTTGCCATGGATATGAGCTTTAGAAACTATATTCATACATAGCATTTTTCTGCGAAACAATTATAAATACATTACTTACCAATATCTTGAATCGCTTGATTAGATCTGCTTGAGTTTGTTCTCATGCATTGACTTCTTGTTCTTGTGTCAAACACTCCAGAAACAGAGACAATAATTCCCTTGTCATGGATATGAGCTTTAGAAACCATATATATACATAGCATTTTTCTGGGAAACAATTATAAATACATTACTTACCAATATCTTGAATCACTTGGTTAGATCTGCTTGAGTTTGTTCTCGTGAATTGACTTCTTGTTCTTGTGTCAAACACTCCAGAAACAGAAACAAGAATTCCATTGTCAAGAATTCGGAGAAGAAAATCTGAAACTCTGCGTTTTAACTACATAACTAACAAAGATGTGAGGTTTGGATCTGATACCCCATCGAGTTCTTGAAATTTTGGTCCACCATTAGTCTCGAGAAAACTGGATCACAACACTCGGAGTATTGATCGGTGTTTGTTCTCCTTTTTCGATCGATAGGGTGATGGTCGGCACATGGAACGTCGCGGGAAGGTTCCCAGTGGAGGATCTTGAGCTTGATGAATGGCTTGACACCAAAGAACCTGCTGATATGTATGTTCTTGGGTAAGTAGATGCTCATCATCAAAACTGTATCTGTCACTCAACAATCTTCTAGTTGCTCAAGTGATCTCCTTTTGCAGCTTCCAAGAGGTAGTCCCCTTGAATGCCGGCAATGTGCTCGGAGCTGAGGACAACAGGCCAATCCAGAAGTGGGAGGAGATCATAAGGAGAACACTCAACAAGTCTTTGCAGCCCAAGGCACTCTGCAAAAGCTACAGTGCTCCTCCCTCGGCTGCATCCATGTCCTCAACTCCTGCTGATGCTGACACACACAACAAGGAGGCAGCATCTCTACCGACTACTGGCACCGACGACTACGGTAAGCTCAACCGGAAGAAGACCAACGCCAGTGATGGTGGCTTCAAGCTAGACTGGCCTGAGTATTCACTAGATACGCCACATCAAGTGCTGACATCCGGCAAGAGACTGAGAAGGGTGTTCAGCAGTTCTGCCAGAATCGGATTGGATTGGCTGGAAGAGGCTCAGGTGTTGGAGCCTCGCAATCTGGCCATCAATGCAGGGCTGAAGAGAGTGTGCCACAGCTCGGGGAACCTCGGAATGCTGTGGTCAGAGCAGCAAGTGGCAGCCGATGTTCTCGATTCCGTGAACGACATCTCCGACAGGTCCTCCGAAGAGGACGCGAAGAGCGACGAAGCTGACGCGGACGAACAGAGATCAAGGCCGCGCTCCAGATACTCTCGCGTCGTCAGCAAGCAGATGGTGGGCATCTACGTCTCGGTCTGGGTGTGCCGGAGGCTGCGCAGGCACGTGAACAACCTGAAGGTCTCACCGGTGGGCGTTGGACTCATGGGCTACATGGGCAACAAGGTGTCGTGTCTTCTCCTCTCCGGAATCGTAGCGCAAACATCCGGTGCTCAGCTGTTTCCATGGAAATGGTGCAGGGATCGGTTTCTGTGAGCATGACTCTCTTCCAAACGCGTCTGTGCTTCGTCTGCTCTCACCTCACGTCCGGCCACAAGGAGGGGGATCAGCACAAGCGGAACTCCGACGTTTACGACATCCTTCAGCGCACGCGGTTCGCATCCGCCATGAATGCCGATCATCCACAGACGATTCCGTCTCATGAGTAAGTATTATATCCATGGAGCTGTTCTTGGTCCGCTTATAGCATTCCCCGGTTTGATCTCATGAATGAAACAGTCGAATCTTCTGGTTGGGGGACTTGAACTATCGCCTGACAATGCCGGACGCTGAGATCAGAGGTCTGGTTGCTTCACGACGGTGGGATGAGCTCATGAAGTTTGATCAGGTACCGATGCATGTTGCTTGCGATGCTGATGATGAAATGATCTCATTTCGATCATTGTGGCAGCTGAGCAACGAGCTGAGAAGTGGCCACACATTCGATGGATGGAAGGAAGGGTTGATTACTTTTCCACCCACCTACAAGTACGAGAGTAATTCCAACAGATATGTTGGAGAGGATGCAAGAGAGGGGGAGAAAAGGAGGTCCCCTGCGTGGTATCTCTCTCTCTCTCTCTCTCTGGTACACTCCAGTATCTTCCTGTGCTTCAAAGGAAGCCAACCATGTCTTGCATGATCTTTCAGGTGCGATCGCATTGTGTGGTTGGGGAAGGGAATCAAACAGCTATCGTACTGGAGATCTGAGCAGAGCCTCTCCGATCACCGCCCTGTTAGTTCTGTGTTCCTGGTTGAAGTCGAAGTCCTTGACCAGAGGAAATTGGAGAGGGTGTTAAACTTCACCACTGCTGGGTTGATATCTGAGAAGAACTTGTAGATAGGAGTTTTGATTTTGATGATGAAGATTTCTGACTTCTTCTCTTGAGTTCAATTGGGATCAAATGCATATTTTGGGGTATCTAATGAAAACTAATAGTCAAAATTTTCATATATATATATGATTAAAGTATCAAATTAAGAAAATCAAAGATATATATATACATATATATATATATATACATATATATAGATATATATACATACATATATATATATATACATACATATATATATATACATACATATATATATATATACATATATATAGATATATATACATACATATATATATATATATATATACATATATATATATATATATATAGAGTTAGCTATGCTTAGCATTACGGTCCTTGTATTTTAAATATTTATGTTGGGATCCTTGTACTTACGTAAGTGAAACATTTAATTTCGTTTCTCTTTATATTATTAACTCTTCTGCTACAAGATATCGCATATGTTTTCATATGTAGAAAATGATGCTATAAAAGGAATAAAAAGATAATTTTATAGTTATTATTCTCATAGTCTAAAAATATTAATTTAAAGATATTTTATGTGAAAGCTTCACTATCCTTTTTCGACTTCATTATCCTCCTGAATGGCCTATTAGAAGGAGAAAGTTTTGATTAAATCTCAAAATCTTGTTCATTAGAACGAGCTTGTTGAGAGTGGCCGCTATCTTGCCAATATTGCTTGGAAGGCAATCATGGATTTTATTGTTGGTGATGACGACGATGAAGGCTTTGGAGTTGCCAAAGTTGTTAGACATTTGAGAGTTGAAATGGTTGTCGTTCAAGAATATGATGCCGAGCTCCTTGTCAAAGAGCACTCCTCTAAAGTCATTGAATTGAAGGTCGAGGTACGTTAGCAATGATAGGCGAAGGGCAACGTCCGAGAACGAGCTAATTAAGCGATTGATGCTAGGGTCGATCTCGTTTCTCTTCGTGCTGTCAACTCTTTTGCTAGAAGATATCACATATGTTTTTATGTGTAGAAAATGATGCTATAAAAGGAATAAAAAGATTTTTTAATAGTTATTATTCTCACCGTCCAAAAATATTAATTTAAAGATATTTTCTGTGAAAGCTTTACTATTCTTTTTCGACTTCATTTTCCTCCTGAATGGCCTATTAGGAGGAGAAAGTTTTAATTAAATCTCGAAAGGTTATTCATCATTCTCATTGAGGGTGGTCGTTATCTTGCCAATGTTGCTTTGAAAGCAACCATGGATTTTATTGTTGACAATGACGACGATGAAGGCTATGGAGTTGCCAAAGTTGTCAGACATCAAAGAACTAAAATAGTTATTGTTCAAGAATATAGTGTCGAGCTCCTTCTCGAAGAGCACTCCTCCAAAGTAATTGAATTGAAGGTCGAGGTACTTAATCAATGGTAAGCGAAGGGCAACGTCCGGGAATGAGCCAATGAAATGATTGTTGCTAGGGTCGAGCTCGTGGAGGAGTTTGAGATGGAAGATGTTTTGGGCGATGATGCTACAAAAGTGACTAGAGTTGATGTGTAATGCCACTCAAGAGGTCGAGCTCTACGAAGAGGTACCGACACTATTAAGGTTGACATCGACGATGACATTGAGCGAGGGTTTATTAAGCATCACGATGCAGAAGATGTCATGATAGCCGCCTATGTCAAGACCAACCCACCCAATTACCGATGAAGTTGTCGAGGTTAGAGTATATGACCTTCTTCTGTACTCTCGAATCGACATAGGCACGATGGGCAAGGATTGACCATAGCAACGTCAATCTCAACATCAAACTCGAAGTCGGAAAAATCTTCCTTCTCTAAGAGAGCAAAGCTACCGGTGCACAATACAAATAACTCCTACATTAAAAAGAGTGAAAGAAAATATAAGAGAAAAGAAAAACAAAGTAGGATAACAAAACCGAAAGAGAAGACGAAGTCAAAGAAAAATAACAAAATTTTTATAAAAATTATCTTATGTAAAATTAATATTTTTGGATGATAAAAATAATAATTATAAAATTATTTTTAAAAAAATTATTTTTTATATATGATAACACATTCGATATTTTCTGTTAGTATAATCGATGATACGAAGGATCAAATTATTAAATATAATTAAATATAAAGAGTAATATGAAATCAGCCCGGAGGAAGCAGCAGGTTTGTGTCCAGGAAATGTTTCCTAAGATGAGATAAGAACAACGAAATCAACTGTTATCATGCCATGTGTCTTGGCACTCAGCCTACTTCCACGTGTTACCTTTTCACTCGAAAACATGGCAGTAAAAGACTCGACATGAGCTGCATGCATTCCACGTAGTTCACCCCATCAACGTTGCCCCTCCCCAACCTGTATGCCTATAAAGCACAATGGCACCTGCTCTCATCCTCCTCCATGTTATTATCAATCAATAGATCACGCAGGTAGCAGACATATATCGAAATGCAGTCTGTCAAGAAGGTGAAGGACATGGCAAGCACCGCCAAGGAGAAGCTAAAGGAGCACGAAGTCAAGGCCGAGGAGAAGGTTGAGAAGGCCACTGCTAGGACCAAGGAGGAGAAGGTGGCAGCCGAGGAGCGGGCCAAGGCCAAGAAGGCCGAGGCCAAGATGAAAATGCACCAGGAGAAGGCCCGGCATAGCGACGACGCCGCTGCACATCGCGGCTCCCACTTGCTCCATGGCGGCCATCACCACCTGCCAATCGGCGCCGCCACTCCGACTCCTCCGGGAGTAGCCGTGCCGACCTTCCCGGTTTCCAGCGTCCGACCTGCAGCCACCAAGTACTAGAACTAGAATGTTTCTGTTTCCGTCACGTCCTTCGTGTACAATTAGTATGTGTTCATGTACGGCAATAAAGAACATACTACAAGAATCTGGTGGTGGTGTGGGTTCATCTTTCATCATGCCCACTGCAATTTTCCCTGGTACTCCAGGCTCTGGTGGATGTTCCCGTCCACCGCGATGACCTGCTTTCTCATGGCCATGGCGGTGGGCTGGGTGTTGTGCTTCACCTGGAACTTGGGAAGTACTACGAGGTTCTCGGGTGAGACCTCAGGTGCAACTTCGTCCAGGAACTCGTTCGCCACGTCCCCATCCTCGTCGATCCGGAGTCTTCTTGTGTACCACCTGAACCCCTGACATGAGAAGTCAACGATGGAAACAAACAATTAGATCTAGAGAGCTTTTTGCGGATTTGGTAGATCGTACATTCAAATCCAATAAGCAAGCATTTGAGACGGCATTCCAAGAAAGATTAGTGGCTTTACATGGGACGAGAATTCTAAGATCACAGTCAATGTATAAGGACTCGGAAGAATTCAGAAAAAACTGAAGGAGACAGATATAGTTCGAGGAATGATAGCTCCACCCTCTTCCGCCTATCAATGTCACTGATTCAGTAGGAATGATGGACTGTCGCAGAAGCATTGGACTCTCAGATATGAGACCAACGGATGAAGAGCAACGACGAGGATTGCAGATCTTCCACATATATCATGAGGCAATTAGCAGACCAGAAGAAAGGGAGGCCATTGTTCTCGAACAAGGTATTTGCCATCCAAATTTGGGAGAAAACTTTACCGACAGAAGCTGCTTCTTTGTGTGATCTACAGTTAACTACAAGTGACGGGAATGAAATTGGACCGACACTGGACATTTGAATGACAAGAGATTTATAAGATGAAAACTAATCTTCACCATATATGGTTTCCATGATAGGTAACAAGTAATCCAGTCAGCAAGAAAAAAATTCTGTAAGAATGGCATGTCTATTCACGTAGAAAGCAATAATATCTAAGTTACCTATGAAAGCAACAATATCAAAGTTACCTATGAAGTACTTTCTTGGAGATGTAGAGTCGAGGTTCTTGCTAATAATTCTGAAAGAATACTTTTTGACTGAGTAGTCCTCATAAGAACTCCCCTCCCGTATAAGCAACAAAAACAGGATTTCATATGTAACAGGTTATAGATCTAATAAATTATTTTAAGAAATGGCATATTATGTCCTCTCTTTCACTGTTTGTTTCTAGCAAATATCAAACTGTTTAGGGTTTGTATATATCATACTATAGGTCATAGATTGCGATATCAAACAATAGGTTAAATACCTAAAAGGTCAATCTTTCTATTTTTTGAGAAATCATTGTTAGGCTTGAGGAAAAAGTAATGGTTATGACATATTAGTACAGAATTATACATTAGGAAGTTTAAACAAAATATTTTATTACTTCGAAGAAAGACAGAACAATTATGTCATGGAGGGCAATTTATTTTCAAGTCTTTGAACTCATCATGATAGCAGAATGTGGTTGACTTTAAATTTCTGAGTTTTTCTATTTAGTTCCATAAATACATAATAATCATACTCTAAGATGACAAAGTTCATCAGTGCATTGTCATAAAAGTTTATATTTTCTCCATATCCTATTGTTTCACTTCTTTTCTGTTGTTCTGCTTCGAAAATCTAAGATCGACTTGAGTCATAGGCAAGCTCTAAATATCGAGTATGTTAAAAACATTTACTGTTTCTTGCTTTGGGGACATAAGCATCGTACGATATTAAATTCTTTAATAAAATGAATAGCATACACAAGTGCCTTAAAATGATTAATTTAATTTATGCATTCTTTGGCAGCTAAAGGGGTCAAGTTGTTCGATTCACCAAATAAATTTCTTGACAGATATAAGCACCACAAAATATCCTTAAACTTTGATAACCATGGAAGCCTACAATCTTCTGTGTGGTTGCAAGTGTCATGTCCAAGATATATATTATCTGGTTACCTACAATAATTTTCTAAAAGCATAAAGATAGATGTTGAAAGATTAAATGATCATATATTAATGATACAATGTGAATCTGTTGGAAACCATGAATTATGACAAGCTAATGAGTTTGGCCGATAAAAGTTTGAGTTTTGAGTCTAGATGACTCGCTTTTTGTAACATTTCTTAACCTTGGGCTTCAAAAACTAATAATTTCTTATAAAATGAACAGCATACACAAGTGCCTACAATAATTTTCTAAAAGCATAAAGATAGATGTTGAAAGATTGAATGATCATATATTCATGATACAATGTGAATCTGTTGGAAACCGTGATTATGATAAGCTAATGAGATTGGCCAATAAAAGTTTGAGTTTTGAGTCTAGATGACTCGCTTTTTGTAACACATCTTAACCTTGGGCTTCAAAAACTAATAATTTCTTATAAAATGAACAGCATACACAAGTGCCTACAATAATTTTCTAAAAGCATAAAGATAGATGTTGAAAGATTGAATGATCATATATTCATGATACAATGTGAATCTGTTGGAAACCGTGAATTATGATAAGCTAATGAGTTTGGCCAATAAAAGTTTGAGTTTTGAGTCTAGATGACTCGCTTTTTGTAACACATCTTAACCTTGGGCTTCAAAAACTAATAATTTCTTATAAAATGAACAGCATACACAAGTGCCTACAATATTTTCCTAAAAGCATAAAGATAGATGTTGAAAGATTGAACGATCATATATTAATGATACAATGTGAATCTGTTGGAAACCATGAATTCTGATAAGCTAATGAGTTTGGCCAATAAAAGTTTGAGTTTTGAGTTTAGATGACTCGCTTTTTGTAACATTTCTTAACCTTGGGCTTCAAAAACTAATAATTTCTTACAAGGGTGTCATTTCATTTTTCATCACTAATTTAATCAGATGCAACTCACTTGTTTGAGCATAATTCACTAGTGTCTAAAGAACATGTAGCATAATATAGATGTTATCATGCTTTCCTAATCCATAATTGTTCCATATAATTCTTTTTAACCCGCATATAATAGAATCAGCTTTATCCTACAAGCTCAATTTTGTGATGGTAACATAGGTGAGATTGGCAACCAAGCAATCAAGCAATCAAGCATCAATTAGAAGCTCTAGGGTTCTTGTATTGGGATGACTAAATCTCCTTTGATTTGTAATGTTAGACAACCCAAAGTGCTAAGGCACTTAATCTGTGTCCGAAGACCAAATCAAACCCAAAGCATCATGCAACCACAATTCAATCCGTTCAAGAAGGCAATCCAGGAGAAGGAAGAGGGGGAAATGAGGCGAATCCAGTACCTGGACGCCGCCTTCGCCGGGCTCGCAGGGGACGAGGACCGGGCTGAGAGCAGGCTTCTCGACGGCGACGGGAACCTGGACGCCGAACCCTCCTCTTGCAGCGGCTGCGGCGCTACAGCCCGCCGCTCCGCTCGTTCTTGTCCGCTCCTCGCCGCCCCCTCCATCGCCTCCTCCTCCTCCTCCTCCTCCTCCGCCACTGCCTTCCTTTCCTCTGCGGGCGTCGTCCTCCTCCCTCGCGAGGCCCAGCAAGCCGGCGATCCGTCGAAGGAGCCTCATCGGATCCACCCAATAGTTCACCCGGCTCGAGGAGAGGGAGATCGAGATCGAAGCTACCATTCTATATGGTTTTATGAACTGTATCGGATCCAAACCCGAACACCCGGATCCGATTCAAGTTGGGTCCTCAGCAGCTGTGTCCCTCGGTCGTTTAATGGACCTTTTTGAGTCAAGATCCGAACCCGAAGAACCGAATCGGATTCAACACCCAAATTTACGTGTGTCCATCCGCATCCGTCCTTGATAGGCTCTGTGCACAAGGATCCGATCCGAAACAAGCATAACAGTAGCTCATGAAATTTGATTGAATCTTTACCAACATTGAGATATATAAATCAATACTAGTAATTTTTTAATTATTCAATTATTTTATTCAATGGTATCCAATGATATTGATCAATGTATCATCCAATATATGTTGTCAAAATCATTATGATATGGATATTTAAAATCCTAGATGAAGATATGAACCTTGCGAAATATCTTATATCTTACATGTTCCTCTATAAAATGCAAAAATCCTGTTTGCATATGCTTAATTTTAAGATCACATAATCTTTATTCTCATTAAACAACTAATGAAGAAAGGGGTTTAAAGATTTATAGATGCATAGTAAACTTGAGTCTTTTAGAGGGATATACAAAATATGATGGTATTTTATGTGGACAAACTGAAAATTTTTAGAAGATTTTTTTTTATTTTTCAAAAATAATTGGAGGTGAACACCAATGAGGTGTGGTTTTTCTATATGCATTTAGTGGCAACAGTTTAACTAATATGAGGGGCTAATATTTTTAGCTACATGTTGTAATGATGACAAATAAGAATTTGTATTCATCTTTGGAGATTGATAGTATTTTGCTTGGGTTTTCATGAACTCATCATTACCAATCATAGCATAAATGAACCATTTTAATGTGGTAGCTACTAATGAATTAATACAAGTCTTCACATGATAGATAAATAGTGGGCTAATTATAGATTATCGTTTGTATTTATATTTTATTAGCATCATGATTTTTGTACTTAAAAAATTTACATTAAGATTCCTATAGTTTTAAAAATAAAGCATATAACCTCATTTATTCTAACCTTATTACATGTATTAACAGAAAACACAACATGTGATATCACGTATTAGATTGATACAAAATGACAAGCAAAAAGATAATTTCAATATCCCTTCCGTTATCATATTAAAATTATCTTTTTATCGATAAGTGAAACAAAAGAATATTAAAATTACTTTTTTGCTCCTCACTTTTATATCGATCCAACACGTGATATCACATATTATATTTTCTGTCAATACAGTTGATGATATTAGAATAAATGAGATTATTTATTTTATTTTTAAAACTATAAAGATTTTAATATATTTTTTTTAAATATAAAACATGATACTAATAGGATATAAGTATAAGAAATAATATGTAATTAGCCGAGAGATAATATTGACATTCATGTAAAACATGAAAATAATGAGCTTATCAATAACCTGATGGTTGGCAAGGATAGTAATAATTTCTTTGCCACAATGGTTAATTAACAAGCAAAGAAATAAAAATGACAAGCACACATGATGTGCAAAACATGAATTCTTGTTCATTTCTGTATGTTCATTAATTTCCACTATGAACACAGTAGTTATGTTTAAGCTCATAATTTGCTCTGCAATCACACATCTTGGGTTTTTATGACAAACACAATTCAAGAACTTAAGAAAACCTGAAGCATGCTTCACTTTTTCCTGGAATTCCCTGAAATTGTGGATCAGAACTTTAGCTGAAACAAGTTAGTATGTACATTCATATATTTTTCGTCGTCGCTGAGATCACTGTTAGGTGATCACATCTGACTTCAACCAAAACCTCTAGATGCACCAAGAACAAAGAAATTTTGAGAATGAGAATGAATGTAACTTGTCGAGTTCTAAGCCATCAAATGGAGCAGTTGTGTATATCTCATGTTCATGTGATTGACTTTAAAGTTCAAAGTTTGTTTGAATTTTGCATAAGAAAGAATCTACTAAACCAATCAGGATTTATAAGATCAAATATATATGTCAAACTTAGAAACTAAATTGATGCCAATGCATATGATTTAACTCTGTTGAAATAGGTAGATCATGTAGCAACTTGATGGCATCATGACTAACATTCACCAGTGTCCAGATTGAGATCCATCAAAGCTACATGAATGATAACTTTACAATAATGACATTCTAATTAAGTTTTGCAATATTTGTCTAAGATTCTTACTTCAGTATGTATGTATATATATAAAGAAATATGCACAAAAGTTGTAATATTAAATCATATATTGGACTTGCACACTGATGCAAAAAAAATTGAACTTATTGGCAAGAGATAGATGAATGAACACTTAACAAGAATAAGCATCATAGTATGCAACCATTCCTTTTCATCTAAATAAATTATAAAAGAGTGTCAAAGATCAAATCATATTGAAGATTAAATGTTATCAAAGAATAGATGACATGCTTTTCTTTGTCTTCTTAGTTAGGGTGATGCAAATCCAGGAGGCACAATTCTTTCTAATTCTGATGGATGAGAAAACCCCACTGAGATGGAGAGAAGAAGAAAACCAAAGGAGAAAACAACTACAGAAGGATGAGAGTCCAGTTTCCTGCACTTGTAGCCAAGTCTGCTGATCCAACTAAGTTATGTTCTATTGCTGCATTTATAATCAATAAGAAAAACTTAGTGGCTACCCTTAAAACACTGATGCATGAGCCAAATAGATAAACCTTTTCTTTGGCACATGTTGATTGAAGAGGAATCTAAGCTTAAACCTTCAATGCTTGCTGCAGTCATATATGTATTAGGGACTCATCATTTTTTTTAGTTTCCTCTATACTTCATCCTTCATATTATATATTAGATCCATCAACATAGTCCATTATTAAGTTGGAAGGTCAACTTCCTTGATAAGATCATAAAGACAACTGATGTTAAGGTTGCCACCACCTGATAACCAAATCTTGATGGAAAGAACAAGCTTGTTTGGGAGTAGGATTATGCTTATATTTCTTAATTAGTGTTAACTACTCATATAAAAGAGAGAAGTAGAGACACTACCTGCTATAGACAAGAAGAGTTTCTAGAGTACATGATTGTTTGATCTCCAAAATGGAGATCATGAAACTTCAAACAGGCCAACAAGAGCTACAACAACAGGACAGTGTCATGGATTTAGGAGCCACCATAAGCTTTTCTTGGTATCATCAAAGTAACAAAAAAGGAGCCTATGTTTCTCATGCATCAATAGGTTTCGATTTCAGATGCAAGAATAGAGAGCAACGAGGGATACGAGAACACAGGTTACCTTGAGATAAAAGCTATATAAACCCTTAAACAAAGATATAAATGGACTTCAAGTGATATCACTTCCAAAATCCATGTCTCTTCTCTCTCTCTCTCTCTCTCTCTCTCTCTCTCTCTCTCTCTCTCTCTCTCTCTCCCCATGCCTTGTTCCTATGCACCCCTGTTCATCACTTGGAACCCTAAATACAAAAAAAGTGACCATCATCTAACTTCAAGAAGATGATGAGATCCATACTGTGTGGAGTACATGCCAGAGAATAATATTTTCTCAGAAAAGAAAGGAAAAACAAGATCATAATCATGATTGGAAGCTTATTTTTCTTTGTTATCCCATGCCTTCTTGTGCCTTTTACTTAACCTGGAAATTTCTAACAAGGCTGCCATCAAGATCAAGAACTTTCAACAAACAGGTGTGTAGAAGAAAGAAGAAGCAGATCAGTGAAAGAAAAAGAAGTAAAAATGCATGTCTTAAACCCATCACTACAGCGAAAAGATCAGAATTTTCATGATAGAACAACAAACGACATGGTTCGAGGAAGATGATCACATGAGAGAAGACCATAATATCACAGCATAGGAGAAGGAGGACAAAGAAGAAGATGAGATGAGAGAGTTTTCAGAGACAAATTAAGTTTACATGGAGATCGTCCTCATAGATCCGTGTCTAACCTTTGCTTGCTGCTACCGCGTTTTGGATCCGTGATCAGTACGGCGGCCGGGCAGCAGAAGCACTGCCGGCCCACCCGCTGTGCCCGTCCATCGGCAGCTGCGGCATGTTGAGCGGCAAGCTGAAGAACGGCAACCCGGACGACGGGTCCGTAAAGGAAGTCCCGACGCCGCCGCTTGTTCCACCTCCGTCGGCGTTGGGGCTCTGTGACACCGGCGGGTGCATCTGGAGCTGCTGATGTGCTGCGGCCGCGGCCGTTGCCTCCTCCTCCTCCTCGTCCAACGGCAGTCGCTCGTAGGCGACGTTGGTAAACGACGCCGCGATCACTATCACGGGCCCGGCAGCGATCAGCGCGCCGACGACGCTCCCCCCGACCACCTGCCCAGGCCCGCCGGCCAGGAAGACCGCGAGGCTGGTCGCCCCCGGCGGGGCGGGCGGCGGGAGGAAGGAGCCCGAGAGGGACAGGATCTCGAAGCGGCCCTGCAGGGTCGCGACGGGGGCGCCGGCAGGCTGGCGGAGGCTGACGTTGGCGACGGTCCCGCTGCCGCTGAGCACGCACACCCCGCGCTGCCGGCGGCGGGCGTACGTCGACAGGCACTCGAACACGTCGCAGCCGCCGGCGACCTCCAGCATGTGCGCGCGCAGCGCGTTGGCGCTCTCCCGGGTGATGATCACCGGTGGCTTCGGCTTGTTCTTGGACCCCGGGGGTCGCCCGCGGGGCCGGCGGCCGACGACGTCGCCAGGGCCAGCGGGGGCGGACAGCTCCAAGCCATGGCTGGCCTGCACCTCACCGGAGGCCCCGTCGCCCCCGGCCGCGGGGGATTCCTCCGAGTCGGGCCTGGTGTGGGGAAGGTGGAGGTGGAGAGGGTGGAGGAAGCGGGAGGCAGTGCCGAGATCGAGCCCCGCCATGCGGGGATGAGAAGAAAACTTGTATTGGCTTAGTTTTCTACAAATAAAAAAAGGAAATAAAATAGAAAATTAAATCAAAAGGCCTTTAAAAAAATATTTTTGTGAGTGGAATACAAATTTTTATGTGAATAAGGATGACAAGGAGGTGAGGAGGAGAGATCATGGAAGCCTATGAGAGGGGGAGAGGAAATATAGAATGGATGAGTGCAGAGAGAACAGGAAGACCTTGGAGCTTCTCCAACTCCACAGAGAGAGAGAGAGAGAGAGAGAGGGTGGAGAGGAGAATGCCTAGATTTTGATGAGGGTGAATAAAGTATTGGGAGGGAGAAAGGAAGGTGGTGGGCTATGAACAGATGTGTGACATAATGTGATGGAGATGGTGGATGGCTATGCCTGTGGGGGTGGAATTATTTAAAGGGTGCTGACTATTATATTAAGAAGGGTAAGGGTTTGTAGGCTTTTGAGAGAGGAAGCCTTTGGTGAGGGGTTAAGGTTAGGGTTGATAGAAGGAAGAGTGAATGGGGGCCTCATTCTCTCTCACCCCATTTGTGCAAGGGTGACTTGTGGTGATTAGCTTGGCATGATGCATGGCTTGGTTTGCACCTAAGAGAACTTTCCTAGGGTTTCTCTGTGATGATGATGGGATTGGATGTGGTGAACTGACCATTTGGTTTAGCTCTATTTTGCATGCTTGAGGTGGTAAATAGATTGAGTGGACAGTAACATTCTTCACACTTGAGCTTCTCCATCAACTCATTACTTGAAGGTTTTTTCTCTCTCAAAATCAAAGCTAAGCTTGGACTAAACGGCTATAATCCCTCACTTCGTCGGCATATTTGCATAAATGATTAAGCAAGAAATAATAAGATTAGTACTTTCTCGTGCAATTCAATATAACTTATTAACCTATCAATTAGATATTATATCCGTAATTGTACATGATGAATTAAAAAAGAAATTTATGTTGAACGACCATTTAAATTTATGATAAGATATTTTGAAAATAAAAATGTTTATACGATTTAAAACAAGCACATAAACACATGGCATAGAACCTTGTTATGATGTAACTTGGTCACCAACTTAATATTTAAGCAATCCATGTGTAGTACTACTTCATTATATCTACAAACACATGGAAAAAAATGTCGGCATACTTGAATGATCATGAGAGTAAAGATATCTATGAAAAAAAAACATGGTTCATGTTTTATGCCCAACCAAAAAAATGAAACCATTGTCAAGAAAGAATGTTGATTGGGTCAATGATAGCAAGACAAAAGAATGGTAATATTTGTGTTAGACAAAAGAACATTCCTACTTGTGTGCTCAAATGCTAATAGAGATTAAAGAACTACATAGCATGGGATTAGGCTGGGAGATGCTTAAATATTTGTTTGATCAAAAAGCCCTCCAAGCATGTCTTTTATATCAATTAGTAGACTTCTTTGATAAAGCATGTGAAGGGTAGGTTTTGTCACCTCAGTTTTGATCGAATTAGGTTCGTTTCTTCTTCCTCAAGTCAATGCTTTCATATGATTTGGATTAGTTTAAGTTGCGTAGTGAAGTGTAGATTGGACAACAAAGCATTGGTGGTCAAAAAACTTAATCTTATTAATTTCTTTTGGCTATTTTGAGGGGCAATTCATCCATGCCTTGTATGATATAATTGACACAAATTAAACTATTTAAATGTAATTAATTTCAAGGCATAAATTACATAAGGAGTTGAGAAAATCCAAAACAATAATCTTATATATATATATATATATATATATATATATATATATATATATATATATATATATATAATGCCATATTAAAATTTCACCAAATAATTAAAGATTTTGAACCATAATTGATATGTTGTATTATCATTGACTACAATGTTAGAACCCAACAATATTGCAACCTTAGCAGTGACCATAAATTCATGAAATCCAATTAAGATCCCTTTGCATCTCTCTGTTGTTTCACAAATAGCAAGTTAGATCAAATGATCATCCATTTGTTGTAGGTGAGAGAGAGAGAGAGAGAGAGAGAGAGAGAGAGAAGGCTGTGGACTCCATCTCAAGGAGCACAAGAAAGAGTAGAGCAGCTATGTAAGGATAATGCAACGTCTCTCCAATTCCATCCATTGCCGAGGGAGGAGTGAAGCCATGAAAAGGCAGGGCTTCAAGCCGAGGCATTGGTTGAGGCGAATGGAGAGAGAGAGAGCGAGAGATGCACATCGGAGAGAGGGAGCGGTGGGGGAGGAGGGAGCACGTGCGCGCGGTCTCCTAGTCTAAAGGCCGCAAGGGAGCGGCAGGTCCACTGTAATCATGTCGGCCATGTCTCGGAGACACCCCACCCCACCCCCCACCTCCTATTGCTTCGCTCCCTCCACCTCCTCCTCCTCCGCCTCCTCATCTCTCATCGGGAATGGCTCCCTCGTCCTGCTTGACTCAAAGTGGCGCCCCTCCCCGCCCGCAAATCCCGGGCTACGTGCACTCTGAAGCGACCAGCAGAAAGATTGAGCCTTAAAGACTGATACACATCATTTAGTGGGGGAGAGAGAGAGAGAGAGAGAGAGAGAGAGAGAGAGATACAACCAATAACATAACACTAGTGGCAGTACATATGTGACATTAGCCAACAACGTAATACTATT